TTGCTGAGTGATAGCATAAAGCAGGGTTTCCAAACAGTTTGTAGCCTCGCAATTTATTTTATTTTATTTTTTATTTTTATTTTTGTGTGTGTGTGTGTGTGGGGGGATTAAATTTCTTTAGATGAGGCATGTCCTCTCCAGTTCAATAAACTACTCATTGGCCAATTCAGGCTTTTACTTTACCTGCCTGGTCCCTGAAATATCTATAGTTCATAGCTCTACATAAATGGGAAAGGAGATTCCGTGAGGAAAATAACTTCAATGTTTCATATTAAAATTTAATATTTGAGTTCATTTTGTGATATCTGAAAAGAGAGAAACAGCCTTGGGTGTAGGGCTGCAGTTGAGATATTTTCAGGGAGGACACCAGTCATCTGTTTTGAAATTGATAAACTTGGTGTGACTAATAATCATTACCACTTGTTTTTACGATAGTGAGACGTTTAATTGTTTGCTCATATTATACAGAACACAATGAAACTCTTATGGAATTCTATCATACCTCCTGGCAAACTGGTTGCCATGCACACCCCTGATTACAGTGTGGAAGTATATGTGGACAGACATATGGAGAGGAGGGGGAATATACATTACATTTGAAATATAGGCGTAGTTCAAGCAATATGTATAGTACAATTTCCTGACTAGTCAATGAAGGCAACTTTTCTCTGATAATGATTGTATGTTTGCAGAGGAAACCACTACGGCAACTACTTCTGACAGCAGCGACTCTGGTGGTACGGATGCTGCTAACACTGATTCAACTCAAACCGAAGCTGGTAAGGATCCCTCTGGCCCAAGCGGATTTGAGGAAAATGCAAAAAAAGGAGCTGGCTCTAATTGCGCTGCCTGTATTCTAAGTTGTTTCTTAGTTTCTTCTTTTGGTAGAAAAATCATCAATGAGCAAAGCAGGGACTGGTGGTGTTTTTGACAAATGAAGACTTACTGTTAGAGGAACACATGGGAAAGATTTTTAAACTATGTTTGAGCAAAGCAGGGACTGGTGGTGTTTTTGACAAAGACTTACTGTTAGAGGAACACTTGGGAAAGATTTTAAAACTATGTTTGATTCTTAAAGGATCTGTGCTATCTTTAACAGGAATTTAAACATTTTAATTAAGAGGCAAATAGATACAATGCTTTAATGAAGGGGCTTGGACCTGGAAGGAAGATATCCAGTTTCTTCCTCAGGATTTCTCAGTAATTTTCTGTGGACTTGGGGGAAGCCACTTAAAATCTCTTGTTCCTGCTCGGCCAGTGTGGGTCAGTTAGTTGAGCATCATCACATGCATCAAGAGGTCAATAGTTCTTCCTGCCCCCCTCCTAAGTCAGGACACATGCCTGGGATTTTGGGCTTGACCCCAGAAGGGGCGAGCAAGAGGCAGACAATTAATATTTCTATCTCTCCTTTCTCCCTCTCCCTTCCTTTTTCTCTTTTCTCTCTCTCTATCTCTTCCTCTTTCCTTCCCTCCTTCCCCATCTCTCTAATTC